TCGCTCCAATATTGTTTTCGTCCCATTGCCTTATTCCAATGGGATGGCTGAATGCTGGACTCTAGGCGGCCCTCACCCAAACGGGCGCCCCGCCATTGTTCCCTCTCAGCACCCCAGAGAATTGCGCCCTTCTGTCAGCCCTGCCCATATCCCCCCTTACACAATTGAGGCCCGCTCTTGATCTCTTTGTCTCCTTAGAGATCCCTCTCCAAGTGTCACCACTCCCGGTACCGTCCTGAGGGGACGGGGGCTCGCTAGATATTATTAAGGAGCAGCCGCGTGTCCGAAAATGACCACATGACATGAGGGGAATTTGAATGACCAATTGACCGATCATGATCGAGGGGTGGCACGGGGTCCGGGGGTGATTTAGGAGTCGTGGGGCTGCTCGGGCCCACCCCGGCAATGTGACACAGCCGTCCGATTAACTGGACACAATCAAAGTTATGCATAGACTGCCTGACAGTGATTCTAGCCCGGGGACGGGTAGGTCTAATGACGCCACAGGGACCTACACGGATGTGAAGGCTTGTGGGGAGGGGAGGGACGAGGCGCGGGCGAGTGTCAGTCTGATGGAAAATTGAAACTTAGCAGTGATTAGGATGCGAGCAGGGGGAGGCTGGCCTGGGGCCAGTGCTTAGGTCCTGTTCCCAAACGCCTCCGATTATCTGCCCGTCTACTTGGGGAGATGGTCAGATAGGACGAGGCCGCGACCAGCGCGCTGAGTTGGGGGGACTGCCTCCATCAGATAGCGCGAATTAACAATTATAATAACAGTTTTCAATGTACCTGTGTTCAGTGTGCTAGTTGACTCGCGATAACAGGTTTTTCCCACACGATTTTTAAAATCATTCAATAGTTTGCGCTCATAAAAATCAAATCAGGTTTTAAACTATTAAAAAAAAAAAGAAAGAAAAAATATATGACTGGGATTTGAACTTATAAAATCTTATTTTATCGCTTGGGGCTTGGAGATTTCAATACAACGAGCGTGAGAAACTGATTTTATGGTAAATAAAATTTCGCGACGTGGTTCGTTAAAAAAGTAAAAACTTGAATTCTGTTTTAGTACCTGTACACTCGGTCGTGGTCAGGAGTAACGGCTCAGGTAGCAAACCCGTTCTATAAATAAATAGGTTTTAATTCACCGCCGACGTTAGTTTTGATGAGTTATTTCCAGAAAAGCCATTATGGAAACAGAAATGTTTCGCTAATTAGATAAACAATCGGCGACATGCTACAGGAAGAGGGAGCGAGAAAGCTGTTCTAAATCTGACGTTTGTGTCTAAAGACAGGTCAGCAAGTTAGCCCGGCCGGACAGCAAATGTATCTGGTCTGTTGACAGAGTTACGCCTGTCACGATTACGGTTTGATTGGTCAAATAAACAGGTCTGGTCGCCAGTGACCTGAGCGACGTCACACCGGTCAGTGCGCGGCAAATATTTGCAGGTTTCGCCAACTGTCGGTGTAGTGCTAACGCCGGTTCACGCCAAGAAACAAACACATCAGTAAACGTGAGCCGGAGCCACGGAGCCGGATTAAAATATTGACACAGGCCCTGCTAAGTTGAAACTGTTAGCGGGGGACGGGGGAGATCTGTTTGGGGATGGGCTAACTGGGCGGGGGCTTTTGTCAGTTGGGGTTTGTGTAACGTGGGTTGTTTCCAATCACTGGACACCACGCCATAGAGCCGTCGCCCGGGGGGACAGCCCGTCCTCTACAGCGAGGTGATGGCATGTGTAAATACCCAAACACCTTGCCGGACTGCCGGCACATCGCGTGCCCTCACCGGCAAGTGGCATTTATGACTAGGGAGGTAAGAAAAACCTTGACTCCGATTTAAGCTCAGCTCCCGTAAACTAAGCTCCCATGCAGATCTCGCCCACAGGGACCGGTTATCAATTTCTGATTTCGTCCTGACCTGCGGCCAGTTTTTTTATAATGTGATGGTCAGCGTGGTAATGACATGTCACGGCGACCCACAGCGGCGCGTGGGTGCAGCGCTGACCCCTTCAGGGGGAAATGACGTCACGTTTCTATGTTTTAATTTCCTGGTCATTCAGATGCCTGCTGACCAGTGGAGGATGACACGTGGTCCCAGAGGGGATTGCTTCGCATTATTTCATGACGACATTTTGATTTATTGGATTTTTAAATCTATTACGGACGTTTGGATACACACGTCTATTTATATTCTGTGCCAGATTTTGGAGGCGTACACATGTATGAAGTGAAGATCACACACATTTTTGAAGGAAAAGTCACATATGTGTGGAGTGAAGATCACACACATGTGTGCAATAAAGATCACTCTTACGTGGATTGAAGATCACACACATATGTCGTGAAGATCACACACATGTGTTGTAAAGATCACACACATGTGCATTAAGATCACACACATGTGTCGTAAAGATCACACATATGTGGAGTGAAGATCACACATATGTGGAGTGAAGATCCCATGTGTCGGCAGCTGCTGTGTCTAGAGTGCACAGTTGCGGTGTGTCACGGCCGTCTGCCACGTCAAGACGTCTCTGACAGGTTCCATCTCCTGGCATTTAGTTCCAGAGCTCCGTCAGGTCAGCACAAGTGTCCACTTCACGCGCCGTCTACCGGCTCTTCCTGGTTGACCTTTCCCTCAATACCTGACTACCCCAGACCTCATCCCCAGCCCATAGCACCATTTCCCATCCCCAGCCCATAGCACCATTTCCCATCCCCAGCCCATAGCACCATTTCCCATCCCCAGCCCATAGCACCATTTCCCATCCCCAGCCCATAGCACCATTTCCCATCCCCAGCCCATAGCACCATTTCCCATCCCCAGCCCATAGCACCATTTCCCATCCCCAGCCCATAGCACCATTTCCCATCCCCAGCCCATAGCACCATTTCCCATCCCCAGCCCATAGCACCATTTCCCATCCCCAGCCCATAACACCATTTCCCATCCCCAGCCCATAACACCATTTCCCAGTCCCAGATCCCAGCTCTTACTTCAAACCTCGGCTGATAACAGCACGTCCCAACCCCACAACCCAAACCCTACCCCATATCCCAACTCCCAACCCATTATCCAACCCCAGATCGTGGCCCATCATCCCAACTCCAGAACCCAACCCCACAGCGCAACCCTCCACCCCAACCCCACATAACATTCCCATATCCCGACACCACATCCCAACCCCTCCCCCCGTCCCAACCCCAGTTCCCAATCCGCGCCAACCACAAGACGTACCCCAGCAAAAGTTTATGGAGCTCTGATGATTTAACCACCTTGTGGTGTGCGATAATTAGCGCGCCTTCCCCTAATGAACGAACACCATAAACAAACGAATGCAACATTGCAAACAATGAGAGATCCCAGAAAGATAACTCTGGAAGCTCTGGAACCACTCGTGGCGATATTCCCTGCCTCGGATGACTTTGTGTATTTGCCGCAGTGCCCTCAGCACGAGATAAATACATAACGTTTATCGTCTCGTGTTGGACAGTTTCCTTACACCCCTGCCCCGCGCTAAACAACACGGTACAATAAAATAACAATGCGGTGACCAACTCATCCCTGGGTCCCCCGGGGGCCCACTGAGCAGGAAAAACAGACCGCCACAATAACGTAACGATGAGCCACGGTTGGTTTTGACGCGGAGGTTCAAGAGGCGGCAGACGTTCGCATGTTTTTTTACGCGCCGTTTTTTTTTATTTGTCTGGAGTTTTCCGGTTTTTCTTCATCGTCGGTTCCACCACTACAGCGGTTCCAGAAATGTCGGAATGGCCCCGGGCCAGAACTTGGCTCCCGTTGTGGTGTTTGCTTAGCCAGCGGCTGATGGTGCTTCTGATCACTTCCAGACGGTAATGAAGGGGCCGGCATGCGCCAGAAAACTTAAGGGCTCCACCGCCGGACGTTCCTTAAGGGGGGCGGTCGGGAGGGCACGCCTCATTAGTGCTGGGACAACACTTATTCTGTCTGTAGCTGCGGTCTTTAGGCCACTCTATTAGCTCTATAGGATGTTTAACACCGCTTCTTTCAATCTAACATTTATCCCTATTTGCATAATACTTTTGTTATAGGCAAAAGTATATATATACATGCATACATACACACACACACATATATATATGTTTATATATATCTATATATCTATATCTATATCTATATATATATATATATATATATATATATATATATATATATATATATATATCTATATATCTATATATCTATATATATATATCTATATATCTATATATCTATCTATATATATATATATATATATATATATATATATATATATATATATATATATATATATATATATATATATATATATATATATATATATATATATATATATATATATATATATATATATATATATATATATATATATATATATATATATATATATATATATATATATATATATATATATATATATATATATATATATATATATATATATATATATGTATATATATATATATATATATATATATGTGTGTGTACATATATATATATATATATATGAGTGTTCTTAAATCAAACGACTAAGACAGGTCTAATACTCTAAGAAATACATTATTTACTATTCTTTAGATAGCTACTTTTAATTATAAAATTGATTTGATCCTACTTTAATTAGTAGAAGTAATCTCTCCTGTCATAGCTTTGTCTTTAAATGGTCTAAGCGATAATGTTAATGAAGACATAATCTAACAACGACATAATCCATGAATTTTTGTTTTAATTGTATTATTTTCAAAGATATAATCAAGATATTTTGTTTTGTAAGTGGTTATTTTTAAACGGTTAATGCAAGTATTTTTGTGTTGTTCTTATCATCTAACAGTTTTCATCCATTGCCTTTTGTTTTGTTATTGTTATCATCTAACTGTTTTCATCCATTACCTTTTGTTATCATCTGTTTTCATCCATTACCTTTTTTTTGTTGTTATCATCTAACTGTTTTCATCCATTACCTTTTGTTTTGTTGCAGGTTTTCTCACCAAATGGCGATCATTTATTCGGGAGTGAAAAAATGGTGAGTACAGGCCGGATGTTAATTCTAGCTTTACTGGAGATTTTACCAGAGATTTTACTAGGTTTACAAAGGTTTAACTCAAGTAGCCTCCCTTGGCTTACATACAGTTGTTGCCCTTCCTTTCGTTGGTACCTCTAGTAGCCCTTCTTAGCGCCCTTCTTAGCTGTAAGTACAATATTTCTCCCTTGTTAGTACATGGTTAACCAATAGACACAGTTCTTAGCTTATTTGCTTTGGTTTATTCACAGTAATCTCCTCTGGTTTTACTTACCATGAATTCCTTATTATTTTACTTACACTTAGTACTCTCCCTGTCTTATTTTGTTTACTCTAGATACTCTCCCCTGGCTTAACATACAGTAACTTTTCCTGTTTTTCTTGAAGTTTGATTTACTTATGGTACCCCCCCCCCCCTCCTACCCCCCCCCCCCCCATGCGCCTTCATCCCTACTTGTTTTCTTGAAATGCTTACCTCCCTTGTTTTCCCGTCCGTCTACTTATACTAACCTCCCTTTGGCTCCACGCTCGTGCTGTAGGCAATGATCCACAACGGGAGCCGCTGAGAGGCGGGGTACGGCCTAATTAACCCCTGTCTGTAATTAAAGAATTTATGCTAATAAATCATCAAGCCTCCCCCACCTCCCACATGTAGACAAACAATGCATCAAATTTTTTGGCTTCATTTTAATATTGGATGTAACAGGAAATGCGAGGTTCGGGAATGAGATATTTATATCTAATTAAGCTTTTAATTAGCCCCGGCGTGACGTCACGCTGTTAAAATTCCCCCCTGGAGCTAGAGCTGGGCAGGGTGGGGCTGGGGCGAGAAATCCTAGAGGTGCCTGGCGTGTTTTTGTTTGAGGGAAAATAAGCACAACTGACCAGCGTCCAGATTTTGGACAGGCCCCCAGCTGACGGACGGGCACCGTGATTGTTTGCTCAAAGATTTGCCGAGTTGATACTCACAATAAGCCGGTAGATGTGGGTTGGAATTAGATACATGTGAGGGTCCAGTTTTGTTTGACACTTCTGTGGGGTGGGGCTTAGGTGTGGGGTGTCGGGGTGGGGTGAGCAGGACGCTGCTTATGTTTAATGAAAATATTTTTTTTAGACTTGCTGACCACTGCATGCATTGTGGATACTTTTTTTTCTAAGACGTGAATCGTTCATGTGAAGTTCAACTGTGAATACCCAGGTACCAGTCGCCCCCCCCCCCCCCAATTTGTACCAGCGACCAGCCTCCACCGAGCACCTATCTTCGAGTCTGCCAACCCCGCCGTTCATGTCTAGCCTCATACTGGTCTCATGGGGGGAGGTAGGTCAGGAGTTATCTTTAGACCGCCAGGGGGCACTTCATGGTCCAGCAAAGACACCTGTTCCTCCCCCATCCCCCCTCATCCCACCCAGGTCACGTGTTCGCGAACTGCCCATGCAGGTCAGTCCAGTGCAAAGAGAATTTATGTAGACGATTCTAGTGGTTGCCTTGGTAACGAGGTGGAGCCTTTTCGTTGACCGAGCTGACCTCTGGTAGCATTCTCAGGCGCCTCGAAGGCGTGTGCACTCCAATGTTTTACATTGTGGCAGCCGTTATTTCAGGCTATCTGGGCATCCATATATATATATATATATATATATATATATATATATATATATATATATATATATATAGCGTGTGTTGTCTAAACAAGGACCTGAAGTACTCACGTACATTGACAATGGTCTTTAGCCGCCCTGACTGGCCGAGAACCCACAAGGAAATACAGAACAAAAAGATAATTGCCAGCGTCTTACACGTTTCAGTGCCTTCCCTTTCTGTCGCCCTCCTCGCTCTCTTCCTTCTTTCATTCCCCGCGAGTCTAGAAGGCCGAGAATTTGTCTTGCCCCATTGGTCTTCGGTTGGTCAGTTGTCCCGGAAACGGCAAGCTGTGAAGGCAATTTCATGCGCCACAAGCTCATATTGCACGCCGGTTTCTTCTCTAAGGCCGTGTACACACGATAAAGCCAGTATTTATTTTATAATTTTTCTCCGCTCACCCGTTCGCCAAATTTCGCTGGTCTTGAAGTACAACTTTTACCTACTATTAATGTTGAGTTTTAAATCTGGTATAGAATTTTGATTCGAAGAAATGCATCTTAGTTTTTAAAAAGACGAATTTTCCTTAGCAGTATCGACAGCAACGGCGATAGAATTTTAGAATCGATCTCGGCAGGCATTCCATTGGAGAATTCAATGAGAATTTGTCCTTGAATGCGCGCCATTGATTGGCTCTGGTCTAGATTGACGCTGTGGAAAGTTAATTTTGGCCCAGGCGGCATCAAAACATGACCCGATTGCCTGCTCCAGCGCCCCGTTCCCCCGCCCCCCCCAAGTTTTTTTAATCTAACCTAATCTCCAGATTTATGCCTAGTCCTATAGTAGAACCTGGCTCCAACACGACCGTGTTTCCTATTCAAGCAGAGGGCCAGGCTACAGTCGTTACCACTCCACCAAAACTAGGTCTTTCATTGTTCCAGCCCGTCCCCCCCCCCCCGCTTGTCAACACAGCACCTATTAATGGTCTACTCTTAATGACCGCGGTAATTGATGAGTGTGTTGAGACGAGCAACCTGGAAAAACATGACGGCTACAAGACTGGGGCATGTTCAGTGAGTGCCTATCAAAACACGACACACACATAGACAGGCGTGCTGGGGCGGCGTGGGATAGGGGGTCGGGGGTCGTTAATGAGTAGGTCTAAGCTATTGTTGGGGGTGTAAAACACACGCCACTGGTGTTCATTGTTTACATCATATGGAGGTGGTGTGTAGTTATGGTGGTAGGTCAATGTAGATGGTGTAATGGTGGTAGAATTGTAGGTGGTATGATGTTGGTAGGGCTATGTAGTTGGTGTTATGGTGGTAGAATTGTCGGTGGTGTTATAGTGGTAGGGCTATGTAGGTGGTGTTATGGTGGTAGGGCTATGTAGGTGGTGTTATGGTGGTAGGGCTATGTAGGTGGTGTTATAGTGGTAGGGCTATGTAGGTGGTGTTATAGTGGTAGGGCTATGTAGGTGGTGTTATGGTGGTAGGGCTATGTAGGTGGTGTTATGGTGGTAGGGCTATGTAGGTGGTGTTATGGTGGTATGACCTTGTTGGTGTTCTTGCAGCCGCTCTATGTCAGCCAATGGGGGTCGTGAGGATCCCAACTACCGCATGCACGTCCTCCATATTTGGTGGGGACCCCAGTATCCCTTTTGTTTTCCAGTAGTTGAGTGGGGGCGTGGGGACCCCATGTATCGTATGTATGTATTGACAGCGTGTTTACAGTTAGGGGTGGGCCACGCACACTGTCACAACAAACCTCCCTCTCACCTGCACCCCCCCCCCCCCCCCACACCACACCTCTCCCGCATTCATTCCCGGTGATAGTTTTTAAACGAGCCAACTAGTCCCTCGCTTTCTCCGGTTAATGTTTTTTGTTTGTTTTTCTACCCCGACCCCGGGCTGACAGACTTTGGCACTCGGGTGTCTGTTTAACATCGCCCCTGAGCCACCCCTAATCACCCTACACCGCTCCCCCCATTGCAAGTCGAGGTGGTATTAAAATCGCCGGGCAGTGAGCCTAGCAGGCTTATTCATTTAGGGGCTGTCCCTATGTATACCGGGGCTATTTTTATGTCTTGGGCTGTTGAAGGCGCGGGTGTTGTTTTACGGAGCTCCTCTAGTTTTATGTTACGGGTAATCCTTTGTTCAACATTGCTGGCGTACTACAGAATTTTATTCACAAAGTTTGACCCCAAATCCCGTCCCTCCTGCGTTTCTCTATTCGCATTCTTGAGCCTAACACCCTTTAATCTGTTCGCGAATTGGAGTTGTCTCCCTTCGCTGTGCCTGCGTCATCTCTCTACTCAAATGATCGGGAAAATCCAGAAAAAAAATAACACAAGACAAGTATATTCTTAACACGTGTTTAATGGCCTATTGTGTGCCACGGAGGTCGGCCGCCGTGTGTGTGTCAAAATAGAAAAGTCGTAGTGTGTAGGATTTTATGATGTGTTGTGTCAGGTGGGTGGGGGGAGTGGGGGTGGCAACCATCAATTTAGTCAGTGGCTGTGGTGTAAGGGGATCAGTGCAACGCTCGTCACAATGGGCGAATGCAAGCAGTTGATATCCGGAGACTCGTCACAACACTGCCGGGGTAGACACAATAACGAGGGGAACGTGTCGGGGTTTAACTGGCAGAGAAACGGGGGCGGAGAAGGGCGGTCAATGCGAGTCTAACTGCGGGTTTAACTGCGGGTTTAACTGCGGGTTTTGGTCAGGGTTTTCTTGGGTTTATGGCGTCTCGTTAAAGCTTAGTTGATCCTAAAGAATTTTTGGCTAAAGCATTAATTCACAGCCTAAAAATAAAATAAAAAGTTTACTATGTCGTTAAAAAAGTTATTTGATTTTAACATCGACGTCACGATTTATGTTGATGATGTGTTTTCATACAAAGTTTAAAACGCGTCTGGACAAACCTATTCTCGCTGGGTTTTGATCCTAGGACTATGTCCTATTTGCTTATACAACAGAAAACAATAATCCGAATTTTGCCTACAATGAGATGCATATCACGTGACATTAAGATGCCCTGCAGGTTGATTTAGAGGGCACAACAATGCCCGTTTGTTTTCGTCCCGGGCACTTGACTGCCCTGCATTTAGCGGACAAAGAAAACTAGCAAGGCGGTATAGATTTTCTGTCAACATAACAAGGTTAGCAGACTGTGCTCCCTCAGTCTCACGCCATTTGTATACAGCTCTTAGCACCCCCCCCCCCCCACCAACAGCTTTAGCACCCCCACCAACAACTTTAGCACCCCCACCAACAGCTTTAGCACCCCCACCAACAGCTTTAGCACCCCCACCAACAGCTTTAGCACCCCCACCAACAGCTCTTAGCACCCCCACCTACAGCTTCAGCACTCCCACCAACAACTATAGCACCCCCACCAACAGCTTTAGCACCCCCACCAACAA